CTTCTCCCCGCGCCTTCCCCCGCCTCAGTTTCCTTCCTCTTTCTTCCCATCAATGCATCGGTGGGCGAGACGTCGCCAAATTGTTGCACTGAGAACTCAATGCTCAAATGCTGCCGCGGCGCGCGCTTCGAGGTGATTCCTCCACGCGCAGTGCAAGTCCATGTCGTCTACTGGTTTCTTCGCGTTCGTAGTTTTCGCGTGCGTGTTTCGTTCCTTCTGCAATTGTCGCGCGCGTTCCTGAATCTGTTCGCCGGCAAGCCGTGCAACTTACATGCCGCGAAAGGGCCACGGCGCTCTTTGATCGATTCGCGCACGACCGTCGCGCGATACATCCACGACCCGATCGACGCGCGCGCGACCCACACGCGCGACGCACGCGCGACGCGCGCGCGACCGCACCCCGCCCCGCGCGCGACGCACCCCCGCCAGTGCGCACGCACGAGCGATCCGCGCGAAACACGCGCGGCGCACGCGCGGCGCAGTCTCGATGCCACGCGCACTATAGCTTCGCCCCGAACTTGAGTGCGCAACGGCCGTCGGCGGGCCGTGCTTGCGTTGTTCAGAGCGGCGGCGGCGGCTGTCCTCAACTGCGCCGGGAAAGGCTGATCCTTCTTCCTCGCCCTCCCTCCTCCTTCGTCCTTCCTCCTCGTTCGTCCATTTGTTCCTTCCCTGTCTCCGTCCATCCTTCCCTTTCTCCTCTTCGCTCGTCTTTCGTGCCCCCCCCCTTCTCGCTCGTGTTTCTTTCTTCCCCTCGCCATCCCCTCTCTGCCTTCAAGTGCTTTTCTTCTTCCCCGGCTGCCGCCCACGCGGCCGCGGCGCGGGCCGCGAACGGGGCCCGCGCTTTCAGCGACGGGCCCCGCCGTCGGCGCGGCGGTCACGTTGGTAATCGTGTTGGGGGTGGTTCGCGGTCGCTTGTGGCGGTCGTAGTCGTCGCGGTGGTTTTGGCTCAGGAGGGAACAAAAAGCACACAGACACAATGAATCGTCGATTCCCAGGAAACCGTTCGAACATTTGGGAAATGGGGGACAAGGCGAAAACCCAGAAACTATCGGAAAATATGGGGGGTCTTATTATCTGTGTCTATGTATTTGTGTGTCCCATGGTCCCTTCATTGGTTGTGGTCGGCCGCTGGTGATGAGCGAAGTGGTGTTAATCACGGAGCTGGCGGCGGCCGCGGCGGCTGCGGCAGCGGCTGCGGGGATTTGTGGGCCCAGCGCTGGAGTATGTTCAGCAGCATCCCGGCACCAGACTTAAGTCGAGCCTGTTCTTCTAGGTGGGGGAAACTTTAAAAATAGTCAAAAAATAGTTTGGGGACGATGTTTCAACCATTTTTGACCATTTTGGAATACGTATTGCCAATTCTTTCGTCCAAAATCCGCCCATATGGGGGACACGCCCGACTTAACACTAGACTTGCAAAGGGATGTGCTCATCTGCCGAGGTCGCCCAGCAGCCACCCCCTCACCAACGGGGCCGTTGCGAGGGCGACCTGCCTTTTCCCAAGGCGAGTGTTTTTTTTGTCTGCGGCCATCAATCGGGCGATCCGCCTCGCGGGTTCCCGCTGAGCTGGCGGCGCACTCACCAGAGGATTCTTTTGCGAGGGCGTCCTGCGTATTCGCGAGGACGGCCAGCCTTCGACGGCCGACGCACAGGCGACGTATGCGCGACACGCCGCGCGCGGCGAAGGGGGAGGGTCAGCACGTCGGACGTTCACATGGGCCTCTACATTTTGGAGCGATGTGTCGGCCATTGTGAGCCTTGTCAGATCATCTGGGGAGTCGGTTTGGGTTTCGCTGGTCCGTTCGGGGCCCATCTTGCACGCATACTGGGCCGTTTGAGCTCCCTCGTGGGCCGTTTGGGGCGGTGCAGGTGGCGTCCAGGGCCTACTTGGATCGATCTTGGGAGCCGTTTTGGCAGTGCAACGTGGAGGCGCCGAAAAATGGATATACCAAAATCATTTCACAAAAACGGCAGAACTCAATATTTCGTTGTTTCGGGAGGCCCCGTGGGTGCGTTTTTATGGAGGCCTTTTTGGGGGCATCTTGGGCCGTTTGGATGGGGTATTCGGCGCTTTGGAGCGCTCTGTCAGCCACTGGGAGCCTCCTTGAACTATCTTGAGAGTCTGTTCGGGCCCTGTTTGCCCGTTCGGGATCCTTTTTGTCGGCTTCTTGGGATGTTTTGCGCTCCTTGGGCCGATTGAGGACCGTTTGGATGGCGTCTGGAGCCTCTTTGGGCAGATTTCAGGGTGCCGTTTTGGCCGTCTGACAGCGTGGAGGCGCGGACAAAACTATAACACCTGAGTCATCAAACGAACCAGCGAAAATCAGCGAATGTTTGTCTCGGGAGGCCCCTGTGGGTGCCTTTTATGGAGGCATCTGGGGCCTTTTGGGGGGCATCTTGGGCCGCGTCGATGGCGCACTCGCGTATTGGAACGACCTTTCGGGAAACCGGAGCTTTCTGGGAGCATCTCCAGTGTCTGTTGGGGCCCTCGTGGCTTGTATTGGGGTTTTCAAGTGCACGTTTCTCATAATATACGCTTCCCGGGGGGAAGTGGACGGCCTCGGGAGCCGTGTTGGTCGTCTGGCAGCGCGGATGCGCAAAAATAAAAATAACAACAGTCACCGAATGCTTGACTCGGGAAGCACCTGTTTATAGAGTCCTCTGGAGCCTTCCGTTTCGATGCCACCTTCGGCGTTTTGGAACGATCTCTCGGGATTTGGGGGCGTTTTGGAACCATCTTCAGGGTCTCTGCGGGCCCTCGTGGACTATTTCGGGGTTTTCTTGGGCCGTCTTCGACGCCTCAGGGTCCGTGCTGAGGCCCTCGCAGGCCGTCTTGGGAACCGCTTGGGCCGTCTTGGGACGGTCTTGGGGGCCTCTTAGGCTGTCGTCCTCCACGTCGTGAAGGCCGGAACGCCACTGATGCTCAACATGCACGCTTCCCAGGGGGACGAGGACGATGTTTGCCTCCTGGGGTTACTTCCTGGGGGTGGTTTTCGGAGGCTTTGGGAACGACGGGGGGACATTTTGAGCCGTCGGGAGGCCATGTTGGGCTTCTTGGAACGATCTTTCAGCGATTCGGCACCTTTTTGGACCGTCAGAAAGGTTTTTCGGGAATTTTGTGTCCTCTCAGATTTTTGTATTCCCGCATGATGCGTTCGTGCCGGGCCAAGGGGGGGCGTCAAAATGCCGGTGCAGGGTCCTTTGGAGGGATTTGTGTGGGGGTGGTATTTCAAGCGCCTGCAGACCCACAAAGGGTCGGCGGATTTGGCCTTCTCGCCACTTGGCCACTCGGAGCGTCTTGGGGCCCCTTTGGATGCGTTGGCGTCTTTTGTTGTGGGGCCGTCCCGGAGGGCATCTTGATGAAGGCGCCAGACAGACACTTTGGAGGTTCTGATGACCCGGGAGATGCGCGGGGGATCTCGTTGACGGCCTTTTTGTAGCAGGATGTCGGGCCCCAGGGGAGGGGCAAGGGGGCAGGTGGGCAGTCAATTATTTAAACGCCTTCCCATCCACTGCAAGCGGTGTTTTGGAAACCGCGCGCGGTTTCTAATAATATGTGGTCTCGTCTTAAGTTAGAGCCCGAGAGCCTCCAGAGATATGACGCTCAGATCCGGGCGTCATGGATAAAACGCCCTGCGTTTCTGACCCCTGTCATGCCCCAGGATCCTTGCGGATCGATCCAGCTCGAAAAAACAAGCAACTATATGTGGTCGGGGGATCTGGCTCGTTACGTCCAGCCTGGGTGGAAATTATACCTTGGCGAAGGACCCAAGCATATGCAGCTTTGCGTATGGTTGGCGCGAGTATCGTCATAGGTGGAAATCCCCCTGCGGTCCACAAGACGTGTGAGGGGTGTGCCGACTCTGTGGTGACGCCCACATGCGGACCCTGACATTGGGTCCTTAAATGGAGTTCCCTATGTGGCCACGGAACGAGTGAGGGTTGCGCCTAAAGGTGGTGACGCCCTCATGCGGACCGTGCCTTTGGGGCCTATGCATGGGTCCACGAAGCGTGTGAGGGATGTGCCACTCGGGCGCTGCCCACATGCGGACCCTGTCACTGAGGTCTTCTGTAGAGCTCCCTGTGAGGCCACGAAGCGTGTGAGGGATACGCCGAAACGATGGCGACGCCCACGTGCGGAACCAGCCGCTGGGGCCTTAGGTGAAGTTCTAGATGGGGCCACGAAACGTGTGAGGGGTGAGCCGAAGTGGCGGTGACGCCCGCATGCGGACCCTGCCACTGGGGGGCCTTTGGCGAAGTTCCAAATAGGGCCACGGACCGTGCGAGTGGTGTGCCTAAGCGGTGGTGATGCCCACATGCGGACCCTGCCGCTGGGGCGGCTTTAGGTGGAGCTTCCTATGTGGCCGCGAAACGTGTGAGGGGTGTGCCGAAACGGCGGCGACGCCCACATGCGAACCCTGCCACTGCGGCCCTTCTGTGGAGGTCCCGATGGGGCCACGAAACGTGTGAGGGGTGTGCCGAAACGGTGGCGACGCCCACATGCGGACCCTGCCATTGGGGGCCTTATGTGAAGCTCTTCATGGGGCCACGAAACGTGTGCCGAACTGGCGGCGACGCCCACACAAGACCCTTAGGTGGAGCGTCTCATGTGGCCACGAAGCGCGTGAGGTGTTTGTGTGTGTGTGTGCCGAAACGGTGGTGACGCCCACATGCGGACACTGCCACCGGGGGCTTGAGGTGGAGCTTCTTATGTGGCCACGACGCGTTCGGAGGGTGTGC